TATCTTCCCAGTATCATAAAGACATTAAGTTCATAAACCAAGGTAGCTCTATGATATAAATATTATCATGTATAATTTCTTTCTGCTTTTATTCTTTCCTTTTTTCTCCTTTCTTCGCTCTCTCTCTCTCTCTCTCTGTGCTGGAAATCCAACCCACAGCCTCATGCATGCTAAGTAAATATTCTTCCACTGACTCAAGACCCCAAACACTATAATTTATAAATAAGGAAACTAAGGTAGAGGAGAACAAACACAGCCAATCTGGCTCTGCTTCCAGGATCCTAACATCTACTTTTCACCTGTCTCTCCATGCTACCTCACAAAAGACAGCAGGTGCCAGGAGGTGCAGACAGAGACAGGGGCAGGGGTGCTCTCTGGGCCTCTGGCAGTGCAGGCTTGTTAGCATTAGCTCAAGAAGGATCCAGAGAACAGAGTCTACACATGAGTATTCTAAAAATCTCAGATGACTCTAAGTAGAAATACTTCTGTCCATTATACAAACAGTATAGACAAGCTATATGATGTTGTAATAGAGGAAGACACATGCTCCTATAATCCTGGTCCCCGCACACATGACAGTGACATTCTGAGTGCATTTCTTCTGGGAAGCAAGTTTTCAACAGTGACAATAATAAAGCATTTAACAATTTTCTTCCTTTTTGTTTGTGTCGCTTAGGTTGCGGCAGGTACAGAGCTCCCACACCATCTTACTGTCATCATCTTACTGTATTCCTTCTGGTGGATCAGAATAATGAGTGTGACACCAGTCCCACTGTTGAGGACAATCTAGTTACACATGGCACGGCAGTGGGCATCTCTGTGTGTGCAGGCGATTCTTTCCCATGCCTGAATCCTCAGAGGTGGATTTATAGAAACAAAGGGTGGTTATATTAATACACACTGCAAATATTTCCGAATTTTGCTACTACAAAGCTGGCTGTTTCGTTGCCCTTTAATCACATATCGAACAAAGCTTTGAAAGATGAATTAATTACACAGGTGAGCAGAAACATAAAGCGAACCCATGCTGGGGAGGCAGATTTCAACAGAGTGAGCCCTGGAGGTAGCACAGTGGCCCTGGAGGAGCAAGGGAGCTGGTGAAAGTACACAGCCACACTCAGAGCTGGAGGACCCAGACTTGACTCTGGGGAAAACAGGGCCTCCCAATGGGGTCAAAATGGGCCTGCACAGTCAATTCTGCAGGGGCAAGGCAAAGGCCTGGGGGAGGATGGGAGCAGCAGAGACGCTAGTGGAGAGGCTAGGGATGCTGGGATACAGAGAAAAATGTAACTGGTGACCCCAAAAGGAAGAAGGCTGCAGAGATGCATGAGGAAGACCATACCCAAGGACACTACGGGTTGAGATTGCTAGTGTCCCTATTCACAGATGAAGAAACAGGCACAGAATGATCTCATGGCCTATAATAATACAAAGGGAATCCCAACCCAAGCAGTGTGACCCCACAGATCCACAATGACCTCCAGGTTATGGCGCTTTAAGGGGTGGGTAAGTCCTCCCTGGCCCCTGACCACTTGATGTGAATTTAAGAAGCTGGGACTCAGTGAACACAAGAGATTGGATGGGGGCTAGGACGGAAGAGGACAGAGACAGCTGGCTACTGTGTGGTCTGCCCAGTGGCCCTGGATCCAGCCAGTGTCTCTGTGGGCATCAGGGACCAGGGCTTACTGAAAACACTCAGACTTCTGCCTCCTAAGTGCCCTGCCATGAGATCAAGGGAATTTCTCAGTCTCTGTGCCTCAAAGTGAAAAAGAGTCACACAGATTGAAGAGCTCTAAGAACCCTGACTGTGATCAAGGATAAGCAGATGATACAGAGTGGCCATGAGAAGCTGGGATGGGTGCAGAGCCACACCCCAGGCTGCAGAGATCATGGAGGCTATTTTAGAGAATGGTGACCTGTGTCCCTGAGTGGGAACAGTCTGAGCCCACCATGCACCTGTGAGAACACCATAAGAGAAACACTGTTCCCAGCTACTGTGGGCTTCTTGCTTCCCCTGCTCTAAGAGACTCTCCAGGGAGGAAGCATTCAGCTCTCACACAGGTCTTTTTTTTCCTTTTGTAGAAAATTATTTTTTTAATTCATTAAATTTATTGGTACATTTTATGTATACAATAAGATGACACTCATGATTAAGAATTTGTACCTGTACATGATACATTTTGGTTCTTATTTTTCCCCATCACACAGGTCTTGATGGCCAGGGGCACTCATGGATTCACTAGGGATGGCCCAGGGCTCTCCAGCACAGTTTGGGGAAAAGTGCTGGTTGGAGCTCATGGTGAGCTCCATGGAAGGCACAACTCTGCACACAGACAGGCCCAGGAAGCAGTTGGACAAAGGGCTGAGAACCAACAGCTCAGCCCCCACGGCTCAGAGGCCAGGAGGGGACTATGGAAGCTACCAGGTTGGGCCATTGTTCCCCCTAAATTGGGGCTGTTAATTGACCGCTGAGCCTGATTAGCTTGCTGGGAACAAAGGTAGTGGCGGCAGGTGTGAGAACAAAGTGCTCTCAGGTCACTCTCCAGGCTGGATGCTTGGAAGCCACCCAGGGCATGCTCATACCTGGGGGACTTGACTCTGGCTCTGGCATAGGGAATCTGCAATACAATGTTTCCCAGAAGTGTCCCAGGACAAGCTCTCAGCAGCAAACCTAACCCAGCCCCTACCCAGCCAGCTACACATGCTACCACGTGCCACACACGGCACCATCACCACCATTCCACCATCTTGATACTCATCCCCTCGGTGACATACATGGGTGTGGCTTCTGAGATGACTCCAAGATACCCAGAGGGACAGTGCTATCAGACTGGACCTGGAATCAAGCAACACTGTGCAGTAGACCAAACCTTCACTGCCCTTAGACCCTAGACTCTATGTCAAGGTCTTCTCTGGCTGATCTCTCTGAAGAGCAAGGGACCATTTTCAAATATCACATGAACTCAGGGTGCCACCCTGGTGTCCTGAGCTTTCATCCAAGGCCTAGCTGTGTCCTAGCTGTGCAATCTGAGGCTACATATCCAATCTTTCTAGGCTTCTGCTCACTCTCTGTAAAGTCAGAAGCCTCACAAAAATTGAAGGGTTTGCTTGGAGCCTTGGATCCCACAGTGGATGACGTGGCAGGTGTTTTTGGTTCTGCGTTCCTGGGGTCACTTTTGTCTTGCCACACCGAGGTAAGTAAGACCCAGTGTCCCCCTTTCAGCTTATTTCCCAGGCCACCAACACTCGGGCTGATGCTGACCTAGCCAGCCCCTCACCCCCACGCCAGCTCCAACAGGTATAGCAGCAAATCAAGGGCTACAAAAGTGAGAACATTTCCAGAATCCCACACTCCACAGATTGATGCTGGTGTATAAGTAAGTCACAAGGCAGCAAGTGGCCCCATCTCCCCAGGGCTGTGTCCACCCAAGGCTGCGGCCAGGCAGCCCACACCAGGGCCCTCTTATGCTGGGACAAGGCATGCATGCTTGTTATCAGGGTCTGTAGTCACTAAAACATTCTTCCCAGTTTGAAGCACATGCCTACTTCCTCCTTCCTCCTCCCTGTTGGATCTAGAGTTTAAGCGAGCCTGATCAGGCTAAGATCAGAGACTCCTTTTCTTTTGGTGGGGGCTAGTACTGGGATGTAAACCAGGGCCTTGGCGCTGGTTTGTTACTTTTTCTATTTTGAGACAGAGTCTAAGAGGCTAACTTTGAATCCTCCAGCCTAAGTCTCCCAGAGTGCTGGGATCACAGGTGTGTGGCAGCACACCCTGCTCTGAGACTCCGTTCTTGCTAGCTGCATGACCTTGTGTAGGTCTTTCGACTCCTCTGGGCCTTGTTTGCTTGGCTCTAGAAGGAGCATACTGATGTCCACATAGGTGTGCCATATTCTAGGAGACAACAGGCTTCACTCTGTATGGCAGCTCTAAATAATTTTCAGTGCCGACATCTCTCTTACCTAACCTCAGCACATATTGACTTTATTTCCCCAGCTTTTGTCCTCTAGCCTCTGTTAGCAACCCCCCACCAAAGATGCCCACAGCCTATCAGCTCTTGACCCCAGATCCTTCCAGGTCTCTCTGGATCTTCTGAAAGAGCTCGTCGGCACCTTCCTGTCTTCCCAGGGTGCCCATCCCATGTGCCCAGGCCCTTCCTCCCTACCTTCTGGGAGCTGCTTCTCAGCTTCTGTCTGTGCTGCCCTCCTTCCCTCAACATCTCCTCAGTGCTGGCGCTGGCTCCTGACCTCTTCTTTCCCTGGGCTCTGGGCACTTGCTCTGTTAGCAACTTTGTTCTGGTAGTGGTGGAAAAGCTCACTGTGTCCTCACTCAGTGCCAGGCAAAGTGCCCGAGGTCAGAGGCTGGGACACTGCCTGCCCCTTCCCTTTGTCCCAAATCTCTTCCTTGTTCTTCCAACCCCTCTTCACTAGGTGACATCCAGGATTGTCAACATGAAAGTGGACACTCTTTGCCTCTTTTAGATCCTGCTAACCTTTCCATTCCCATCTCCAAGTTTCCTAGAAGCCCTCTGCCCTCTCCCTGGCCTCCCCAGCCTGTGGGTGCCACCTGACTGAGTGCCTCCACCCTGTCCTCTGCTCCTGGTCCCTCTCAGTCCCCACATCTGTCCCTGAACTGCTGCCCCTACCTGCCTGCCCAGACCTCCTGGTTTATTGTCCTGTCTGGTCCCCTGTTGCAGCCCCTCTGGTTAATCATTGCTGTAGAGATAAGGTCCGAATTCCTGCCCAGCCCCCAGCCCCCTCCTACAGTCCCCAGGCCCATGTGCTGAAGCTCAGCTGGAGATGGGACTCCTGGAGGAATCAGCAAACACCCAGGGGATGCACCAGCAGTGGTCTCCTCCTGCAAAGGACCAAGACCAGCTGGCTGGGAGTGAGCAGCTGTTAACCACAAGGAGGCAACTGGGGCTCAGGAGGGCAAAAGCCAGGGAGAAATCAGTGGTCCAGAACCCCAAGGCCTGCTCTTCCTCCGCCACACCTGGGCTCACCTGCTGTGTCCCCACTCCGGGCTGCTTGGTGTCTCCCAGTGCTGGTCCAAGGGTCAGCACTCCACCAACTCAGGCATCCCATTAGTCTCACACTTATTCTTCCTTCCGACTCCATCATTTATAGGCTGCATCCTTGATTTAATGTTATCTTTGCCAGAAAATGAGCACAAAGCCACCAATCACAATCTCACCCTGCGGACACCATATACATACATAAACAAGATAACTCCTATGCAAACAGCTAAGCCCTACATTCAGTCTACTTGCTTGCCTGTGTCTGGTGTGCTGAGCCTCTACAGGGACTGTCGCCTCATTCTGATGTCCCCAGCATCTGCTACTGGTGTAAGGTCAGTGAATGAAACTTGAGTGGAGAAATAATAAATAGCAAGAAAAAGAGCTGCCATTGTTGAAGTTCACTCCACACGCCAGGCCTATGAACTAAGCATTTGGCAGGGATGTTTTTATTTTCACTGTTTACAATTAAAGCTTATTTGGTAGGGAGTTTTCTTCTTTCCATTCCGTGATGAGAAGAAATCAGAAAGGCAAAGCAATTCACTAACTGTCCCAAGCTAGAATAGTGCAGGACTGGAGTTTTAAATTAGTTTGGCTCACATCAGAGTTTAGTGTTTTAGCATGAACTGCCTTTCCAAAGAAGGCAGGCTCCTCATCGCTCTTCAGAAATGATGGTCAGATTTCCACCCCCCGGAACTTCCTGCCCTCCCTGCCTCCACCTGCACTCAACCATTTCCTGCCTTCCTTTGTTTGACAAGAATCCTGCTTTTTAAAGGTTAAAAAAAAAACTAATAAAAATTCAAGCATAGCTTGAGCACTAGGAAGAAGCACCACCCATGACCTGGCTGCCACTGTTTAGCCGCTCAGATGCTGTGGGTACTTAGTGAGCCCACAGTCACCCTAACAGCTAGGACGGCTGCTCTTCACTGTCAACTGGACTGAGCTAAGGGCGGATTCACATCAGTAAAGCACTTACGGTGTCTGCTAGTGTTTCCAGAGATGATTGGCATGTGGGCCAGCAAACCCAGGGAGAAGACCCGCCCTGGTGTGGGTGATGCAAGCCAATAGGCTTGAAGCCCTGAGGGACTGAAAGAGGAGAAGGAGGAAGTCAGCCTGCACTTAGAAAGCTCCATGCAGCTTCATCAGGTGCTTGTGCTGCTGCTGCCAACACCTGAGGAATCAGACTCCAGCCTCTTCAGCCTTTCATGTGGACTCGCACAACAACTCTCGGGGGCTCCCAGGCCTTCAGGCTTGTGCTAGGGCTGCGTCCTTAGTCCATCTCGCTCTGAAGCGTTCAGCTCTTGAGCTGGATTCTCCAGTTCTCCAGTGTGAAGATGACCGCCATAAATTCTCCCACCCCTGAACTGTGAGCCTTCCGAATAATTCCCCCAGTATAATTTACTGTTGATTCTGTTCCACTAGAGAATACTAAGTAACACGACTGTTTAAGTCTTATAAACTGAGCAGGGCTGGGGTCCAGTTCAGTGGTAGAGCACTCACTAGCAGGTGTGAGGCCCTAGCCTTGGTCCCTAGAACTGCAGATAACAAAAGGAGCCTGGCTTCAGTAGTGTGCTGCTTTTTGTACCGAGGATCGAACTCTGGACCTTCTGCTTGAGAGGCAGGTGGTGGCACCACTAAGCTAAATCCCCAACCCTCATACTTCCTTCAGTTGAAGACTTATTTGTAAAATGCTTCCTGGAGTTAATGCTATCTTTGCAGGGAAACAGCAACAACAAAATGGCCAAGTATGTGTATCCAGCCTCAAAATGGGCTACAGATGCAAATATGGATGGGCAAAACTTCTAGGAAAAGTCCTAGAATAAAATCTTTGAACTTCATATTAAGACGCACATTTTTAAATGACTCCAAAAACACCATACATAAAAGAAAAAAAAAATCAACACATTGGGCCTCGATTACTTCTGGACCTTAGTTCTGCTCTTATGAACAAATTATTTTACAAGTGAAGAGAAAAGCCACCAACAGAGAGGGATCAACATTTCCAAAACACACATCAGATAAAGAATGTACGCAAAAATATATACACACACTCAGATTAAATAATTATAAAACAACTGAATAAAAATCCAAGCAGAGAGTGAACCAAAGAAGATGTGTGGAAAAGAAGATAGGCATGGAAAAGACAGACATGCTCTACATCATTCATTATAGGGAAGCACAAATTCAACTACCACAGCACTCCAACTGCTCTTATTCCAAGGACTGAAAACTCCAGTCATGATAAAGTCTACACAGATGCCTACATATGACCTGCAAATCTTGCTCCAAGTGGCCCAGGAGAAATAAAAACACAAGGCCCCACAAAAGCCTTCACAGGAGTGTTCATCGCAGCTCTATTTCATAATCTATCCAAGCCGAAAACAACATAAACGTCCTTGAGGTCATGAGCTGATGAACATCCTGTGGGATAGCCCGACATTGAATACCATGCAGCCAGGAAAAGGAACTGAGCTCTAATTTGGGCAAGAACATAAATAACTCCAAATGCATTCACTGAGAAAGAGGACCTGGTATAGGAAGGCTACAAAAATATAATTCCAAATACATGACAAGGTGAAAAAGGCAAAGTAGAAGGGCTGAAAATAGCTTAGTGTCTTCAGGGGCTGGAATGAGAGGGGATGAAACACACAGGGGCAAGGAGGGCAGGCTACCTGGGGACCCAGTTTACTGAGTGAAACTCCTTGGTGCCTGTGTTTTGGTGATGGTGGCATATGCGTGCATTACTAAAACTCATGCTTAAATACAACAAAAAAAGATAAACTTAATGGAGTAAATTACACCTCTAGAAAAAGTTTATTTCTATGTAGTCCAACCAATGTTTGGGGAAAAAAACAAAGGTGATAATTCAGTAGATTTATTGTTTTCAATTATTCTGCAAATTAACCAACTTGTTGCCCTAGACCTGAAGTGGGACGGGCATCTAAATAAGGTAGCAGAAGCAGTGTGCTGCTTTTACAACTCTGTTTCAAAGCTGTCAATGTCACAGAATACCAAGAAAGGTTGTGGGGATAGAAATGTTCCAGAATAACACAGATGACAGAGACAAAACAACAAATACTAGCAGGGTGAATGTTAAACAGCCCACAATTAGGTCAAAGTATCAATGTTATCAGAAATGCTGACTGTGGATTGGGAAAAAAAAGAATCTTGTCAAGCCTTGTAAACTCACTGTGTAGATAATGGTGCTCTGGTTAGTAAAAAATATTGCTATTTTTAGGAAATGTATACTGAAGTACTTGGGGTAAACAGACATGGTGTGTACCACTTACTCTCAAATGTGTCAGGAAAAAAATGATATTTATTGAAGTTATTACAATTAAGCTGTTATAGAAATTATTGTTCTATTAGAATTATTTAAAAATAAAAATCATCTCAGACTTCATTCTGTCAGCCATGTCCCTGTAAACATGCATTTAATACTGTGAGCACTGTTTAATTACAGAAGGTGGGGAGGAGAAAAATGAGAAATGTGCTTCTCCAAGCCCTGCAAAACCCTCTGCAGACCGGATCCTTATGAAAATGTCAGCTTTAAATATCACTTGACAGATGCCTTTCCAGGCTTTTTATTGGGACGGCCAGGAAACGGACTTCCTCCTACAGACAGCGTCTTTCATGCTGCGGGGAGGCTTCTGCCAATCATTCCGACACAGCCACCTCCACTCAGAGCCTTCAGACAAGGACTGAATGAACACGACTTTCGCTCATACTCTCCTTTTCCCTCATGTGGCTGGGCCAAGTCCTTTTTTCCTTTTTCTTCTTCTTTTTTTTTTTTTTTTCCTTCAAGTACTGGGGATTGAACCCAGGGGATCAGGGTTTTTTATTTTGAGACAGGATCTCATTAGGTTGCCCAGGCTAGGCTGGGTCTGTGATCCTCATGCCTCGGCCTCTCAGAATGCTGGTTTCACAAGCACATGCTACCACCCCTGGCTATGGGTAGGCTGAGTCCTCTAAGCATGGCACTGTTGGTTAGTGATCCAGGCAGTGCAACCATTTCTCCCTGCTTCCCATTGTTGTCCTACTCACTAATACCCAGGGTGGGAGAGGACAGTGATTTTTAACCCTGGTCCTTAACTGTTGTCTGGGATGTGCTGTTAACATAGGAAGAAGGACACTTTGACTCAAAGATTAGGGATGTGGATAAACTTCCTCTCTTACAGCAATCACCAAATCTCAGAGGACTGACACATTTGCAGTTTGTCACACCCACATGGATCAAATATCACTGGGTGACTCCCCAAGTGATGATTCAGAGACTTGGGCTCTTTCCCACTTGGGTCCTTGTCATCTTCAGACTGTGCTCTGCACAGTTGCTACTGTGTGAGAAAAAAGACTCCTGGTGAGGTCACAACATGTCTTGAGGCCTGTTAGTCCACACTCCACAATGTAACATCAACAGGCCTCCGGCAGGGTGGCATTTTGCTACTACCTCAAACGGCAAACATGGCAGAAGTGACCCTGTGTGAATTCCAAGGGAGGTGTGGCTTTGCTGGCTCATTCTCTTTTCTCAAAAGGTTCACCCTTAGAAGCAGCCATCAGCCAAGATCATCTGGCCTTCAAACTTCCCATGGAGACCTAGAAGACAGAGTAGAAACACATCACCCTGCTGTGCCTGTTGAATTCCTGACCTGCAAAAGGATAAGAAATAATAAATCATAGTTGTTCTAAGTTGTGTTCAGATTTCAGGTACCTTGTTACACAACAATAGATAACTGACGCAATGGATATCTTGCTCATCTCTGCCACTATTCTGTAGCATCTCTGGCTGAGTTCCTCACTAGTGTCCCCAAGCCCACTGCTGGGAAGAAACTGCCACCACTAGCATAGTTGCCCCATTGTCATCATTGTATCTGTCAGACTCTTACTTAGAAGCCTATAGATGTGCTGGAAAGGAGCAACTGTAGGGAGTTTTTATTTTTAAGTTATGAGAGTGGGATTGAGGGAATTTATTAGTGGCACACTCTAGTACTGGCACCTACAGGGAGCCATTCCTACCTAGGCCACAGGGGCAAAAAAGGGAGTGGTTACTAGAATGTTGCAGGAATTCAAGGACTAGCAGAAAGGAGCTGTGACCTTTTAGCACAAATTGAGCCCAGCAAAGATACACTGGGTATGACAGTTAAGTTTGATTGTGTTAACTTGTCTGGCTTGGGAGCTGTTCAAGGCATTGTGAAGACACTCTGTGTTATGTCAGGGTGGGTGATACAAATCTGATCTTTATCTAGTTCTTGCCTCTTCCTCTCTGGCAGTGTTTCCCTGTTCCGCTTCTCAGATACTGTGAACTGAGCAGGTTTGCTCCACCATGCCCTTCTGTCATGATATTCCCACCTTGGAGCCAGAAACCGTGGACTGAATCCCTGAGACCTTGAGCCAAATTAAAGCTCTCCTTTAAATTGTGCATGTCAAGTATTGCGTCCTAGCAATGGAAAAGTTGACTAATATAGAACATTGGTATCAGAGAAGACAGACTTTGACAACATTATCATGATGCTGGTTTTATACACATGCAGAACGCAAAAGTTGGATTAAAGAGGCTCTAGTCCAGATTTCAAAGGAAGGAACTCCTAAGAGGGCAACTCGTAAGGTGCCAGGAACATGAAATATCTGCTAAGGAAAGCTGGAGGCTGTGTGTGGAGCTTGTCCAAAAGAGGCCATGTGGGCTGAAAACAGCAAGTCCATAGGAGTAGAGCAACCTGTACCCTTTGGAACTGATGTGTCACCACTGTATGCCCAGATGCAGACATGGAGCTATGGGACTTCATATTTGTCCTGCTGTCTTGCTTTGGTCTAGTTCTTTACTCTCCCCCTATTTCTGTCTTTTGGAATGAGACTGTTTACATTGTCCCATTGTACTTTGGGATTCTGTAACGTGTTTCTTAGTTTTATGGACATTCACAAGTAAGAGTTTGCCATGTGTCTCAGAAGAGACTTTGATTGGGACTTTTGAAAAATGCTGGAACTATTGCAACTTTGGAGAAAGGAATAGTGCACTTCTGTATGCAGTCAAGATAGGTAGATTTGTTAACCTATCATTATGTTTATTTGGAAAGTAAATATGGTTTAAGGAGAGGTATTAAGGCGTCAGGTTGACAAGGGATAGGATGTGACAGGTAAGCTTGACTGTGTCAACTTGATTGGCTTTGGAGCTACCTTGGAGATTGGTGGAACACACCTCTACATATGTCTGGTGGGTCACGGAGGTGTGACCCTGGAATCTATATCTGGTCCCTCACCTCTTCCTCTGTGACTCTGTTTCCCTACTCTGCTTCCTGGCTGCCATGAATTAAGCAGCTTTGCACCACCATCCTCTGCCACCATGATGTTTCCGCCTCGGAATCAGCCAATCATGGATTCAATACCCTGAAACTTTGAGCTAAATTAAACTCTGCTAAATTGTGGATATCTGGTATTGTATCCCAGGAATGAGAAAGGTAATACACTGGGAAAACAAATCCTGAAAACGTCCTTTCACTATCTAAATTTGCTTAATCGTTCTGTTGGCTGAACTCAAGAAGAAACCAAAGGGAAAGAAGGCTTGCTACTGTAGTCTGTAAGGATCAGTTTCTAGGGGACAAGGGAGGATGAAGAAGCAGAGAGAAGACCAGAGAGGGAAGTATAAACATCCCACATATTCACCATCACCACCACCATTACCATCACTATTAATCATTATCTTCACCAACACCATCATTGCCACTGTCATTGTCCTCATCAACACCATCACTCTAATATCACTGTTATCATTATCACTGTCATTATTGCCACTACCGTCACTATTATCATCAGCATCACCATCAACCCCAATTGTTTTGTAATTAAAATCACTTAGTTTTACAAAATTCCTCATGCTTTGTCTCATGTCATCCTTGCCACATATAACTGGTGCTTAATGCAATTCCACAATAATCTTACAACACTTACTCTATCCAAGGCTACAGGCCATAAACCCCCAGATGAGTACATCAAGCATCATAAGAAAGATGCAAAGTGTTTGGTGAATTGGTCAGAAAAGATCCCTGGAGGCTGGCCTTGGGACATGGTGCATGCGTCTCAGGGGTGAACCCAGGGAGAGAAGCTATGTCCTGGGCACCACAGGAAGAGGAGGTCTAGAGGCGAGGAAATTCAGCATGTCCTGGGAGTATGCTGATGCCCAGAACATGCAAAGAGGAATGTAAGTCACAGAACTGAGGACGTGCTGTGGTCATGCTGCAACAAACTGGCATCTGTGTTCTGCAGGTGAGGGACAGGGAGTTGCTGGGGGACTCTGGGCACAGGAACAAAGCATTCCACTGCCAGGAATGATAGTGATTGCTGTGGTGATGATAACAAGGACATGATGGTGAAGGAGAATTGTACTAATTCCTGGTTTTCAGAAATTTCATGTCCCAGGCAGCTGTAGCATGGATGGTGTGTGCAGACTCGATGACAGAGGACACGCATGGTCTGGCTACTCAAGTTTCAGTGAGCAGAATCCCCATCAAGACTTGAGAGCAAAGGCAGTAGGAAAGCTACAGTAACAGGCTGGCTCTTGGGACCCAAGGCAGTAAATATCAGCTCTTTCTGCACCAGGCTCGTCTGGCACAGGGCTGCCCTCTGCCCAATGCCCATGTGCTCTATCGGTGGCTGTTCTGTGCCTGGCACTGCTCTGGGCTATGTAAGCACAGCAGGCAAGCAAGGCAGGTAAACATAGCCATAGATGGGAGTGCTCTTGGCACAGTGGCATGTCTAGAGCTGGCATGTTTTTCTTCTTTGGCCTGAAATCTCCTCCCCATCCTCTCCTCTGCCTAGAAAACTCCTACTCATCCTTCAGAACCACCTCTAACTCCTCAACAGTTTGAACACTTGTCCTAATTCTTCCAGTACACTTCCCTTATTCCTCTTGTACATCCCTTGAAAGCCAACTAGGATTTCAAGTGGTGAAGAAAACATTCATCCTCATAAGAGCTAGTGAAAGTTGCCCTGGAAGTTTTGTTGATGCTGTTAGATGAAACCATTACTATGCCATTCTGGTAAGTAAAAAATCTGTCAAATAGTAGAATTTAGAACTGAGTGTTCATCCTGACAGATTGCTAAACAGTGGACCTTGTCACCACCTCCCTTCTTATCCCCACCCTAGTGGGATCCTGAGGAGCAAGTGGTGTCACACACAGGACACCCTGCAGGAGCCCAAGGCTTGCTGGGTGATGCTGGCCCTGGTCTTCAGTCCTCCCTGGCTTAAGATTCTACAGGTGAGTGCAGCTAGGGACCTGGGGATCAGGCCACCCTTGGGGTCACACTGGTGGAAATGCCCAGACCCCAGCCCAGAATCAGGACACCAGAGTGGCTCCCTGGCAGTAAGCTTCCAGGCTAAAATCACAGCATGTCTACACTTGGTCAATAAGAAGACTGAGAACAGTGGGAATTGAAGCCAGGGTACTCCTAAAGAGGGAAGGTGGCTCCCAGAGTGGGGACCCCTGACAGTGCAGGTACCACACACAGTCACTGGTTCTAATTAGCTGTGGCCCCCTGAACCTCCCTGAACCACAGTGAGCAGAAATGGGCTAGACACAGGCAGAAGTGTCTGCCACTCATTTATGCAGCAAAACTTCCCTGAATGCTTCCTCCATCCAGGCACTGATTAACGCAGCAACCAACACAAGGGGATCCTGAGCATCTGGAAGCTCCCATCCTGAGGACAAGAGGCAGACAGGAAGCAGAATGTCAAAGTGAGGATGCTGAGCTTGGGAACCCCACAACCCTTCTGCTCCTGAGAATGCTCTCTGGACAGCAGCCCCTTCCCAGGCTATGGCTGGGCAACACCTTTCCCAGTCATGACTCAGAGCTGACCCTGAGCACAGGGGCCAATCACTGATAATTGGCCCTTTCCCCATAGCACAGCCCTCTTCTGGGAATCAGGAACTCACCCCAGGGGGTGAGAACATGTGAATGGGGAGGAACACAAGGTAGGCCACAGAGCCAGGCAAAGAGGGATGCTGGACCCCGTCCCCCAGGGACACCTTCCAAGACCTGTAAATGCCTGAAGCTATAGGTGACACCCAATTGTCCATATAAAGAGTCCTCTTGGGTGCATGCATACGCTAATAAGTTTTAAATTACCTCTTAGTTGTTTACTTCTGGAGTTTTACATTTGTTAGAGTGCAGTTGACTCACTGTCACTTGCCACTTTGGGCTTCTATCCTTTTGGAAGGGACAGGGAGGTGGCAGCCCAGCTCTAGGCCATATGCTAAGGGGAGTGGCCAGCCCAGACTGCTCCTCCCAGCCCACAACAAGCTATGGTCCAAGAAGCTGCTCTCACAACAGGGTCCCCATCAGCAATGACCAGTTGGCCGGGTCTTGGAACACAGTGGGATTCTGCACCCTGCCAGGAGGAAGCAGCTGGGAGGGGTCCTGTCCCTGTGGGTCCACAGGAAGTCAGTGAGGACCCATAGTGGTGAAAATGAGACTGAGGTGGTTTCAGATCACAGGGACCCGAGGCAGGGAGCTCCCAACTTGGAGCCCTTCCACACCCCTCCACACTTCAGCAGCACATCTCAAACATGATTGGAAAGGCAATTTGTACAGTTACTTTTTTATTA